GTACGGTACGGTACGGTACCGGTACGTACGTACGTTAAGTTACGTACTACTACTACTACTACTACTACGTACCGTACGTAGTAGTACGTCGTACGTATATATATATATATATATATATATATATATATATATATATATATAAACTATGACGCTACAGTTTTATCGATAACTGACACCGCGTAAGATTAATGTTTCGGGCAGTTGACAATCCCAATATTGGCGTTGGTATACTTAGGGGAACCCACGGCGCCCATCAGACGGGTTCAACGGTTAAGTGCTCACATGTAAGCGTGACGTAACTAACTAACTAGCTAGCTAATAAGTGAAGCTATATATACATATACGCGTAAACGTCATTGTCATTCTTACCGTTTCTGCTGTTTTCTATAAATACTCGGTTTTGTTGTGTAAATTACGTGTAACCGTTTTGTTAGCATGATTTCCATCTATACGAGTGTCATCTAAGTAATATAATTATGTAATGTTATCATATAATGTCGTCCCATTGATTGATCTACACGTGAGTATGCATATGTGTTAATTCATAAGAAATGACGAGTCTACACCGTGTACACACTGTTTGCACTGTTGAGAAACTGAGCCACCATTTTGTTTCGAAGTGTTTATACAGTTACCTAACGCTAGTCATTCCTCTTCATCATAGCAAATACGCGCAAATGTAACCATATATCGGTAACGAAAATTGTAATGTTTAACTTCAACAACGCGTGACTGCGCTAACTCTCGTATCACATAATAGAGCATCCGATTTATTGCCCAATGACAAGATAACTGTCAGTGTGGCATCACACGCCGAAAGTTTAATGTGATCATGATGTCATTTAATATTACATTCGATATTTATGTGAGACATGACTGATTTTCGTACGATATAATAGCTCATAATATGACACATGACTCCGTTCTAAATCAGTGTGTGCACCACTGCAATACGCTATAACCATCATCTATTCTGAAAATAATTAAAAAAAATTTATATCGTGATATATACATTGTGAAACACATTTTCACCATAATTCCAAGGCGATGTGAAACGCCCACTATCCGCCCACGCCGTTCAGACAGTAAGCGCCTACTTTTCTTCTTCGATAAAACACACTTCTAGGCAGTACGCGGTGAATCAATTTTTGTTCGTCGTATTTTTGTTTTATACCAAAAATTGATATATATATAATTTATGTGTGTGTGTGTGTGTGTGTGTGTGTGTGTGTG